CTTGGCTTGCACGGGGCTGACCGAGGCTCGTGCGGGCACCCCAGCACCCAGTGGGGACCCCGTACCGGCCCCCATGGGGTGACAACAGGCTCCTTGTCCCCTTTGGTGCTGCAGCCCCAGAGCACCCGGGGCTGGAGCGGGAAAGGAAACGGCCAAAACCTTCCTGAGCGCGGGGGGTGAGTCCCAGTGCCATCGCTGTCCCTGTCCCCGCGCCGGCCGAGCCCGAGGAGGGCCCTGGGCGTTGTGGTGTCACAAACCTGCCCGAAGCCGCCCACCCCCCCGCAGCAAGCCTGCAGCACGTACCCCGCACGCCCGGGCCGGCGGCGCGCAGCCCCTGTCCGTGTGTTTTCCATGGCAGGGAGACAAGTAACTTTTCATGAGTCCATTTACGAATTCCTTTCCAGCAGGAAAGCTGACCCACTAGAGCTCATTAAATAACGTTAATGGTGCTGCCCAAATAAATACTGGAGCTGCCACCTGCGCTGCCAGCCAACACTTGCTGCCTTCTGGCCTTCTCGGAGCAAAGGTTTCTCGGTTTAATTGGACGCACGTGCTGCTCTCCTGACACCGGCAACCTCTGCTGCAGCAAAGGATGCTCACACAGCAGCGATTGGGTTCCTGCAACTTTATCCTGGTGCTGCCGAGAGCGGGGAGTGGGTCCGGCCGGGCCGCGGGAGCCGAGGGCTGCTGAGCGTGGAGATAACCGGGGGAACGGACACGGCGTGCGGGGAGCAGGTGACTAATTCAGGCCACGCTTATCACTGAACTGATTAAACCCGAGCTCTAAAAATCTTTTCCTCTTCCTTCTGTCCTCCAGCCAGCAAGTAATGTATAACTTCATTAGTCCATATCCAGAAGACACTGAAAGACATGGACAATTAATTATCGTCTGTCCCGTTTAATTTCCCTGCCTGTCAGTGATGGTTTCCCGGCGGCTCGCGGACAAGTCGGCGTTGCGAGATGTGAGCTGGGGATGAGAGCCAGCGCTCCCGCAGCGCCGCTCCCGCTCCTGACGGGACGCTTGCACCCGCATTGCTCCTGGGGGACCCCTCAGTGGCACCTCCTGGTCCTCGCTGCTCGGGGGGGTCGGGTCACTGTGCCGGCCGCGGGGGCACCGCGAGCAGGGTCGGAGCTTCCAGGGCTGGAGGGTCCTGAGAGCTCCCCGTACCCGCGTGTGCCCCGACTCTCCCAGCAGCCCGGGAAGGTCCCCGCGTTTCTCCCCAGCCCCCCCCGAGGCAGAGCCCTTCTGACACCTGCGAGATTTTGTCACGGTCTGGAGGGTTCAATACTCCTGCCAGATCCACACAGACCCCCCATCGCCTGGCGGAGGCGAGTCCGGGGGGGGCTGGCTGCTCGCCGCCGCCCTTGCCGTGGGGCCGGGGCTACCTGAGCC